GTAACACAGCCTGAACATTTGTTTCTACTCCCATGACTGCAGTATAGAAGTGATAAACTCATAAAACGAGGCGATACTTCATTATTTACAACATTAATAAATGTAAATAGACTTGTTTTGACAGCTTTAAAATTGACGGGCTGGCAACACATCAGGGATTGTCATAACTGAATGCAGCGTATTGTACTTGTACACAAATTATCGTAACTAGAAAGGCTGATGGAATCACGCTTTGATCCTTTAAACAAATGACTCTCTTCAGACAGGCATCTTCAGGGAGGTTGGATGTTAATGGGAAGCCATTTCTGATCTGGTGAGTTTGGTATCGAGCTGCGGCAAACATTAGAGCTCTTCCCGTTGGTAACTTCAATCATCTTGTGAGGACAACCCTACAACAGCCTGTATTATTGCTTTGAAAGACATAATCCACTCTCGGCCACTCCCCCTCACTGATATTCAGGGATTTTTAATTAAGCCACTAATTTGCATACAAATTCCAGCACATTTCATTCCAAACCATCACAGGTGGTCCAATTTCCAAAGCCTTGACATGCAAGCGGCCAGTGATTTAAAACTTCTAATGGAAAAGGCTATTATTGCTTAGCAATGAAAGAGAAACTATTCACGGATGGCCTTTTTGAACAATTTCCAGATTACTGATTTTATAGTTTGGGCTTAACAACATGGCCTCAACATAAAAACCATATTTTTGCATGTATTTTGCCATTAAATTAGACCTAATTCTTTCATTTTTAAACAAAATAATAATGTAGTTTTAGTGGCTTGAGCAACTAACGGTGAAATTGTTGCACTATATTCACAAAGGTTTTTGAACTGAAAAAACTGTGCTAGTCACTGACCACCTGCTACTGAGTTTAACTAGGTGCATCTGAAGAGGGTAGTCATTGTCATTTTTTGAGCACAATCAGCTTTTGAGCATAATAAACAGCCTTTTATATGTAAATTATGCAAACTGTTACAAAAATTGATTGCATCATCCACAGCCAGATCTAACTTGCAAGATAGAAAACTGTGCAATGAAAACTGCATCTATCATCTATTAACATGTTTACCTTATTTTGTGTGTTGCTGATTTATTAATATATCTAAAACAATGAAATTAAGTACTTCAAAACTGAACAATTCCCCCAAAAATGTTTAACCCTGTTAAGCCTGATATATGAAATAAAAGTTTTTTTTTTTTAATGAAATAATTTATTGAACCTTGCTATAGACAAATTAAAAAAGGTTTGCATGTTTTTGTTCATTAGTTTTAACGCATATAGGAAAATATGGAGCTCAAAAGCAAAGTCCTAAGCAAAAATATGCCCTTTGGTCCAGATGCTAATATTTATATGGTCAAAAAGTAATATTAAATTCTGACTGCTTAATGTAAATCAATATTTTTAACAGTATAATGGACTACTTACATAAAATGCATATAATATCAGTTATCCCTATATGTCTCCTAACAATTTGATATTTAAATGTTTATTTCATGATCAAAGCTCTGTAGTTTATATGGTGGGGGCACAGCATATAATACACTGCAATACAATGATGATTGAGATGAACAAATCAACATTCCTTAAACGTTCCTGATCATATTTTAAGCATTTTAACATGAATTTTCTAAAAAAAAAATTGATGTATGGATAATCAAGTAAACCTAAATTTCTTCAGTCCAGTAAGTGTTCATCTTTGAAGTTATTCTTAAATTTACTTTATTAAAGTCTTTAAAGATTTCACAGCAAAAAGACACATAAACCACGGCCTGAAGAGAGATGTTTTTACAATTTTACTAAAAGGTCTTTTACTTGCTAAAAAAAGTATGAAATATCACTCAGATGACAAAAGGCATGTGGTAGATCATGTACAACAGGTTTTTCAAAGTTTTGATCATGTTGATAATTTAGAGGCCTTAGAAATGTGTGTATCAAATATGAATTAGTAGGCTTTATAGGGTTAAAACTTTATTTGTTATTTCATTAAACTTTGCACTTGTACTGCTGATGAATCTGTCTACATGTTATGTCATTCTATTTTTATTGCATGCTTCTAGGAACAGCGAGTTTATACCCTTCATTCACTGACTACTAAAACAACCACATCCCATTTTAACACAGTGGATGGTTTCATTCTTGTAAGATGGCACAAATTCAGGCTTGTATTTTGTAGCTTACTGCATGTCGAGCCAATCAGATAGGAATGGAACTACTGTTTCAATCATCGTGAAGTTCATGGAAGTCTGAAAAAAGAAAACAACACGCTGTGTCCAGTTTGATAAGACACCCAGGACCAACACCAGGCGCTGTGTTGTTTGCTGTGAGAGTGCTGGAAAAAATCCAGCATCGTAGAACTCCAGCTTTTGCAAAGAGTGGCGCTTTTCAGATGGTAATCACATGCTCTCTAAAGTTGCAGCCCAGCCACCATCCGCTTTCTGAGGGAACTTGTTTTCTTTGGCAGCCAGTAAAGCTGCTCTACTGAGAAAGCATACTGTTTGACCAGAATCAGCCCCCTCCCCGGTTTATCCACCCACCACTTTGACACAGCACATCCCGACACTGGATCAACAGGGGGGGGGGATGAAGAGGAAGGAAAAGCTTGTTGTTAAAGAAAAAAAAGCAATAACAAAGGTTACACCCATATTTCAAGCAATATGGCTATATGAGAGGTTATAAGAAACCTAGTAATTTGGTTGCATTCATTTCCGTAGCTTTACCACAGTAATGCAAAAGCTTATTTTGATGGACTCGGGGGATTGAGCTCTCGGAGCAGTAGGTTTATTTGGAGAATCCTCCAATGTGGTTTCCTGACCACTGTCTCTGCTGCAGTCTCCCACAGGTGAATATAAGCTTTATTTTAGGACCCATAAACAATGATTCATGATTACAAATCTCTTATTTTAAATGCTCAAACATGTAAACTTGATAACACACAAATGGATAGTTCACCCAAAAATGTAAATTACCCCATGATTTACTCACCCTCAAGCCATCCTAGGTGTGTATGACTTTCTTCTTTCAGACGAATACAATCAGAGTTATATTAAAACATGTCCTGGCTCTTCCAAGCTTTATAATGGCAGTGAATGGTGCTCGAGATTTTGAAGCCCAAAAAGTGCATCCAGCCATCATATAAAGTGCTCCACACAGCTCTGGGTGGTTAATAAAGGCTTTCTGAAGTGAATCATTGCGTTTGTGTAAGAAACGTGTAGAAAGGTCTAATTTAAAATAATTATTTTGTTGTTTTTGTGTTGTTTTCCAGCCCAGCGTGTCCAAAAATTTTAATTTTGGTGCATGACTAATGGAAAAGAGTGGGAAGCACATTCTTCAAAGATTTCTGCTCCATAGAAGATAGAAAATAAACAAATTTGGTTCATCTTTTTAAAGGTGAGTAAATATTGTCCATATTCTCTTTTTTTTTTTTTGGCTGAACTATTCTCTTAAAGCAACTAATGTTGCTTTTACACAATTCTACACACACACCATTATTGATTTCCTGCTCACAATTAGTCTGGTGGAGGCCTGCAACATTAAAAGTCAGACTGTTCTTGTTCAAATAGGTTATTTCCTGCCATAGAAAAAATATAAAGCTGCTGTAGATTTATGTTGTACACTAATAGAAAGAGGAACCAAAATTGTTTCCACATACAGCATTTCTCAATCTTTTAATAAACCTCTCTTTCAGCAAAGCTGGCGGGGGAAAGAGAGGTCAGTAATCACGTTGGGTCAACTAATATACAAGACACAGAATGCTTGTGGTGGAACTCTGTAAACAAATATGATGAACTAAGCTATTCAGTATCCAATAACACTGAACACTGAAACAGCTGACGCGAGATGGGAAACGTGTGGCCCCCTTCACCCCCCCAGACCTGCAGGTCACCAAACAAACCCCAGCACACTCTCTATTGTACACTGATTGAACACAAACCAAGTGGCTACTTACAAGCTCCAGTCCTGTGATATTAAAGTGTCACTGCATCTAGGTCACTGCTGTTTGCAATCACAACTTTAAGAGCGTGCGACCTGGTCTCCAATCACAATCAAGTATCTGGACCACCTTCCTCACAACAGTTTAGTCTTAATTGTTCCATTCTCTTCCTTATGTGTCACCATTTCCCATTTAGGTAGACCAGTGACAATCAATCACAATTTCAGAGTATTGACGCCCATACCCACTCCTGAATTTAAACACAAGGTAGTTAAACCTATATCTAACCTTTTTTTGGTCTAAGTGTCCTCTCTGTGTTCATCTACTTAAGTGCATGGCCCTCATGTGATTTCATACAATAGACTCTTGGCCTATGGAATCTAATGGTCTTCTCTGGCGCTTTATAAAAATCATGCGTCGCAAGGCTCTATATATTGATTTTGACATGTTGGAAACCCTTTACACAATAACAGTGAAGCTAATCCTCAGGCTAGTTTGGCACAAGGAATTGATCAACTATCCCGGAGCTGAGAAATGTGAAAGAAACCAAAGCACACTATCCAGAACTTTGTCTGTGTTTGTCTAAACTGACCGGCCCTGCCAACAGAAACCACCATAATTATTTTGAGATATTTAAACTTGTGGCTGCTTCTTGTCCAAAATTGTGACTAATAGACCTCAGAGCTCAACGTATACATGTTTTGAGGTTTGAGTTGTCTAAAAGAAACACAGAAAAGAAAAATATACGAGCAAACATGGTTACATGCACTGTGAGATTGAATCAACTCAAGCACACAAATCTAAAAATTGGTTCGATTTTAGCCAGGATATGATCATCATGAATTGCTCTGCCTAGAGGTTCATGATACCATTGAAAAGTTTGGGGTTGGTAAGATTTTTTGAAAATGTTTTTGAATCTCTTAGGCTGTATTTATTTGATCAAAAATACGGTAAAAACAATAATACTATGAAATATTATTACATTTAAAATAACTTACATGGTAATATATTTTAAAGTGTAATCTATTCCTGTGATGCAAAGCTGAATTTTCAGCAGCGCTTACTCTAGTCCAGGGGTGCCCAAGCCTGTTCCTGGAGATCTACTTTCCAGCAGAGTTCAGCTCCAACCCTGATCAAACACAACTGAACCAACTAATTAGGATCTGAAGGAGCACTTGATAATTACAGACAGGTGTGTTTGATCAGGGTTGGAACTGAACTCTGCAGGAAGGTAGATCTCCAGGAACAGGGTTGGGCACCCCTGGACTAGTCTTTAGTGTGACATGATCCACGAATATGAAATGTTTCTTTTTATATATAACTTGGAAGTTGATGTTATTTTATTTTATGTTATGTTAATATTAATAATATGTTCAGAAAACTAATTGTATAGCACCATAGCACAACCAGCAGTGCAATCTCTCAAGATGTAGAGGTAGCAAGACAAACATCATTTGTTGTACATGGAGGATTAATCGCCATTTTCTATAAGCATTAAAAATAATGAGCTTCATAAATGGAGCACCACTAAGGTGATCAATACAACACCTAGGGACATCGGTAGTCAACCTATAGCAAATCAAACATGCAAGGCCAATTAATGCAGACAGAAATCATCTTTCATCTTTCTCAGGCATAAAATTAATTAATTGCTCAGTGAGACATTTTTTTTCCTGAATGGACGAATAGAATACAAATTGAGCTAAGAGATCAATAATTCGTCAACAAATAAATATTGAGTCGATATCAGGCCTTAGTGTAGTAATAGATCTATCAGACAGCAGATGCTTCATGTCAATTGAATTGCCAATTGATTTTTAGGATCTAAAAATTAAAAAGTCACACTAAAAAGATTGTGTGTTTGTGTGTGTTAAAACTTGCCTCAAATTACTTGTGACAAACAAAGGAATACAGCTGTCACAATGTTTTTGTAGTTCTACAGCTTGCTGCATGCTAGAGGTGTCAGAAAAAAAGTGCAAATGCTGTAAAGCGTTTAGACCACAGGATTCACAAACCACAAACAAGCTTGTATCAATATACTGGTGGTCTTCGTTTCGCTTAGAGCGCATTATGTAATGAATATATAACAGTAAATCATACAATTATAGGACTATTAATGCTAAAAATTCAGCTTGGCCATCACAGAAATGAATTACATTTTAAAATATATTAAAACAGAGAACACTTATTTTAAATTGTAATAATATTCCACATTATAATAGTATTTTTGATCAAATAAATGCAGCCTTGGTGAGCATAAGAAGCTTCTTTCAAAAACATTAAAATCGTATTGACCTCAAACTTTTAAACAGTGGTATATATACTAGGGATGTGCGGGTCTAGTCGACTAGTCGACTAAACGGTACACGCGAGGCAAGTGTGCGGCAAGCGGAATTCATTGAGGGATTTGACAGTGTGATTCATAGATTAAGTATTTCAAATATAGGCTATTATATATGCTACTCGCACGCACAGAGGTTTTTTTTTCTTACCATCTTTTGGGGGTTTCTTGCTTTTAGACTAGTCGACTAGTCGGATACAAAACTTTCGTTTAAACGACAGTCAAATTAGTCGTCGTGCACAACCCTAATATATACTACAATTTGTCTCGCGTTGCCAGACCTTCAGACTGACGGCAGAAGGTCTGGGAACCTTGGCTGCCATATGACTGACAGTTAAAGCAACCAATCGCGTTTCGGGCGCCACAGCATTTTTTTTCGTTAAAGAACGCGACACAATCCTGTATAATCTAACCAATCCGATGACGACTTCGAAACTCCTGAAGTGTTTCGAGCTAAGTGTGCCATATTCATCAGACATTCAGCCATCGGTCCGTGGGCATGACATCTGAGGCTGAGACTATACTACAATATGCCATTAACAAATTACTTCCATATTTTTGTACTTTTAATATGCATATTGAGGGAAAATATTTCAGTAGATTCTGAAAAAGAAAAAAAAAAATCACTTTTTGTCCAAACATCACTTTTGCTCAAAAATATTCTATAATTAAATAAGACTGGATCCATCCATTTATGAAAAAATCCATGTATGCAACTTTATAGAAAAAAAAAACTGATAATGTGAAAACCAACATCTCACCTGCACTACAGTCTAGTTCTTATTTACAACATGAAAATGAAAAATGAAGTAAACAATAACACATCATTCCTTCAGTTCTCATCTGTGCCTGTAGGGGGCGCTCATCCCGCAGCCTTACCTGGCTTGTGGTACGTCGATGCTGGAAGAGACCACCTTGCGTTTTTGTTCCAGCAGAGAAACAGAGCGGGTGTGATCTTTCTCTGGCTCTAGTGCCCGGCCCGTTCGCTTGTGCTCCAACACCCTTGGCTCCTCTGTGCTCTCCGGGCTGAGGGAGGGCGCCTCTCCTCTCTGCATGCCCCCATTCTGGCCCTGCGTGGGCCCGTCCCGCTGGCCACCATTACAGGTGCTCTGCAGAGAAAAACACATTTGAGTTTCTTCAGTCTTAACTGTGTTAATAGTCTCTCCAAGTGGCTCCCGTCAATGAAACCCTATTTACACCTACGGGGGCCTTTAATGGTATATAGACCCCTGCCGCGAGGCTTGTTTGCTTGCAATCACGGAGCATTAGGCTGTATTTAAGCTGCTGGTAATTAATGCACCGGTCAATACAAACACCTGAAAAATGCTTTGGATGGAGAAATCCTATTCGCTCATCTGCAGGCTCGTTTGTTTATAAGATCTCTGCGCTGCTGACAAAAGAAAACTAAATCCCCCACGCTCTGCCATTTCCCCCTTAGCACAACAAGCCACCATCCGTGACCACACTAATGCAGAGACGAGCAGCTTTTCCTCTTGTACGTCTCATCTGCACAGCAGCCGTAGACTTTTCTATTGCACTGCGACTAAAGCTGCGGTACACTAAACCACATGCTACAGAGAGGGCAAACAGGGGCCAAGACGACGTACATCACTGTATGCACCAACGGAGAGCATGATCTCCGCAACAGTGAGCGGCGTGCAATCCAGACCATTATCTTGCCGTAATGCGATTAGTTTGACTGGGGAGTCAAAGTTAACTGAAGTTAAAAATAAAATGGATGGCTACCTGGATACCTGCCTCAATACCGGTCCAAGAAACTCTGCTGATAAGGGCTAAAAAAGGTAAATAAAACAACATACAAAACGGAATTTTACCTTACTAGTAGTGAAGTGTGGTATTTTAATAAGAGTATCTTTTTATTTATGTGCCAACTGTCATTATTTACTCACGCTCATGTTGTTCCAAACCTGTATGACTTTCTTTCTTCTGTGGACGCAAAAGGAGACATTTTGGAGAATGTGCTGGCTGCTCTTTTCCATACAATAACAATAAATTAGGATTAAGCTTTTAAGCTTTAAAAAGAAGGATATGAAAGCACCATAAAATGTATCACAAACATGGTCTATATAACTTATGCATGATATTCCAAAACCTCTGCAGCCAAACAATAAGCTCTGGATGAAAAACTAGGGACGCACAATAGGTTATCATCAGCCAATATTAGAGATTTTATATGTATTTACTAGATTTTCATATTATTGATTATAAAATTGGATATGTAATTATGAATATAATTTTCCTTAGTTTTCATGTTGGTGTTATCTAACACTCACTTAAAAGTTTACATTTAAAAATGCTAAACATTTAATAACACTGTAAAATGTCTAGCAAATCTCAAAATAAATATCCAATATAATGTTGTGATGTCTAAATTCACTTCAAGCGTTTAAAATGTATGATTTTAGTCTGTGTTCTTTTTATTTATTTTAGACAATACTGTAGAAATGTAATATCTGCCATTCATCAGCTTAGTATCTGTATCAGGCAGAATTTTACTAATGGTGCTTCATTGAAAAACAGACTAAAAGAGTGAATGCTGACAGAATTTTCATTTTTTGGGGTTAACTCTTTCTTTAAACCTCCCATAGGTTAGGAATAATGCTATTTCATGAACAAGATGAATGCCAGGCTTTGGCGTATTTTCATGAGATGAACAGATTTGTTAAAGTGGTATCATGTTGTGCAAGACTTTCAAGCGTCAAATCAAAACTGCACAGTTGACAAGTTCAAATTTAAATTTCACACACTATTAAGTCTTTCTCTCTGAAGATAAAAAACAAACACCCTTGCTTTGTGTGCTTGTTTTTTTTAACGACCACAGCTTTCTCACCTCATGTAGAGCACAGACTCCAAACTGATCAAATATGGGTTACAATTCATGTGCCAGTCAAACTATTCAAATGAGATCTTATTTTTGCTAAAGAGTTAGAGGATTTTAATCAATTTAGCCCTGTAAGGCCCACTGTTGTAATATTTCAACATCAGTTTTAGCTTGACTAAAATAAAGCAGCTCATGTTTTTTTTTCTCCAAGACCACATTTACACAACTAATGGGTCCTATTCTTCAGCCTTGCAATGCTATTGGATGCTAGATTTTAAAAATAGGCCTATTTACCTGGCCATAAACTCACACAACCTGCGAACCAACCTGGATAAATCTACATTCAAGTAAGTAAAATGCCTAAAATATTTTTTTCTGTGATTATTAATATGTGTAGATCATGTAGATATTAAGGTATTGTTGAATGCATTGATCATTTTAGATTTTGACCTTGTTATGTCAGTGTTGTAATTTTGCAACGTTGGGTTAAAGGGGTCAAAATTTGCCTGTGCACCTTGCACATTACATGGATGAATTGTACTTCTCATCTGTTCCATGTAAAAAAGAATACTAATAGAAACATACTGTTTTTGATCATTCACAAGTTTTAAATGGCTTTTTTGTTACCATTTTGAGATTCAATCAAGATTTTATGATTATTAATTGATAAGTTCAAGTTGAAGAATAAATTATTAAATAATTTGAAAGTATTCGTGTAACAATATTTTAAACTATCTGTATCTTAAAATGTACTTAACTGGCCCTTTGCTTGTTTGCCCAAATATCTGCTTGCTGCATGAGGGACAGGTGATAATATTCTGGAATATGGGGAGTATACTATTAGCATGATAAGTAAAGGGCACAATAAGCTATCAGACAGTATTGTCAATTCTGTGGAATGTGTGAATTCTGTGAATGGGTGAATTCTTTAAAAGTATGTTTGGGATCAATTTGCACTGATAATTTTAGCCTGGAAAATAATCATTGTTTTTTTCCATTTCAGAATGCCACCAGCCAAGAAAGACCGTCTCATCATATGTGTATGATATATCACTGATGCTGTCCAAAATGAGAACTGTGACTTTGAGATGGACTGTGATACAAGAGAAGAAAGTTTTAAAGTCAAGTCATTTAGAATATTTTAAAGCTTTCATTCAGTTCATCAGGTTTTGATGAACATCAAAAAACACATTTTTTATAATAAATGTTTTTTTTTTTTCATAAAAATGAGACTTATTTTATCATTATTGTGTGATTATTAGTGTGTATACATATTAGGGTTGGGCGATGTCTACCAAATTGGCATTGGACGATGTCTACAGTGAAACATCGTGATGGATGATGACATCGGGGGGCGGGGTTAGGGGGTGTGCCCGAAGCGTGAATCCGTTTGCAGAAAGGCACGGAAAACAAATAACGCATTCTAAGGAGCCACCAAATGTACATGGTTAGCCACTTGCTAGCGGTAGACTGTTACATTACAGTACATGAAAGTTCACTTACCACATACACAGAGTAAGGAGAGATGACTGATAGGACAATGGCGAATGATTTGCAGATACTGAGCACCACTGACAAATATCGAATCTTGTAAAATGTGTGGTAGGTACTGCCGCTCCGTAGTATAGAGTCCGTGTGATCGCGAATCTCGAAAGTGAAAGTGAAAGTAAAATGAGAGCACGCATTCGATAGCGGTTTCAATGCCCTGCATATTAGTAGCGGCTCCCTGATGCCTGCAATTTATATACAGTAATTACCCAACGATATAATTGCAAGAGAAAGTATTGAAATATTTTTTTTATCCTCCCATCTCGTAAGCTATTTATTCCCTTTAGGGGTTCCGTAGCACACTTCATTTCCTTTCCGAACACAGAATTGGGATGCGGCGGATTGTGGTGGGTATGGGGGGGGGTAGATCACGATGCCGGCTCAACATCGTGATGTCTGTCAGCCATCGGCGATGGCATCGTTTATCGGCCCAACCCTAATACATATATAGATTACTGTAATGGGGTTACAGAAGCATTTCACCCAGAACCTTTAGATGTTCTCTACATTTGTTCAGACAGTGAGTAAAATCACTGAAATTCTGCTACCCAAAGAGCTCAACGTTGCAATATTACAACATTTCACTAAAAACTGACTAAAATGTAAAAACACATATTACTGTATTAGAGGCCTCCTACAACAACATTTAAAAGGTGAAATAATTTTTTCACAGGTTTTTTCTGTTTGGGTCTTCTAGGGTTAAACAGATCTCGACTAATCTAATAACAGCATTAATGCACAGATGAGCACTCAAAATTAATTATCTACAAATGATTTATTTATATTTGAATATTCACAAAAAACAAACAAACACACAATGCACGTTCACACGTGAGATGCTGCACTTTAAGGTTTGAGATATCCACTGTAAAAGGAATTATGACGCTCTTCGTAAAACCATAACAAAAATGTTTAAAGCTTGCATCTATTATAACCAAATAATCAACCATTTCATGTGAATAAAATGTAAACCAGCAACAAAGCCTTGGTGCATAAAGAGCTTGTTAAACTGTTAGACAGCCCATGTGTGTTAATCAAATTTTGATATTAAGCAGTGGAAACAACAGGGGAACGAAAACAATCCAGTCCGCCTTTGTCTGGAAATGCCACACTGTAACGCACTTAACGCGAAGCCCCTCCTTACTATGCAAGTCAACAAGTGGCATTCCCCCAAGCCGAATGGCACTCGTTTGGGAATCCAGGCGCCTTGCCAAAGCCCCATATTCTATGAGCATGACCCTCTGTAGAGCTCCGTTTTGCTGCCGTTATGGAGCAGCTGCTCCGGGACCATTAGCCCCCACTTTAGTTTCACATCCCTCCTTGCTTGAATTGCTAACATCTTAACTTTTTCCCCATCATATGTCACCAGAGAACATGTCAGCATGTGATGTATATAATAGTTGCTCAAATAAAAAGTGGCACTGATTAAAAATTAAATGGATGTCTGATTGGTAGTGCAGATTACAAAATCACTGAAGCATATCAGTTGCCACACTTGCCAAAAACAAGCACATGCAAACATTTAATGTACACCAGCAAACAAATAAAACGTTTATGCAAATATAGCATGCAGATTTGAGCAGGTATTATTCTAATTTATTTTTAATGATTTCCATGCAAAATCTACAAATCAAAATCTTGCAGCTCTGGCTGTAAAATAATGAAATAGAGCTGGTGCCGTTCTTGTCATTTTGACCCTCTTTGTTTTGATATGGCACCTCAGGCTGTATAACTTGATGACTGCAATTAGGTCATTATAAAAAAAAAACGTGTATTTTGCAATTACGTGCAAGCAACGCACTCAGCCTAGTGTGCAATCACGCGGAGTTCAGTGAATAAAATGAGCTTGATCTGAGCATTAACTAAATATCAAAAGACACGAATAAAAACACGATCATTGCACTAGCAATGAATGTCGAAAACACACTAAAAGCACTAAGAAAGAGCCGGTTGCAGAGGAGAGATGGAGGCTGTTGTACGTGCCCGCACACAAATGCTTCTGTGGCGCGTGAATGCTGCAGAGCGTGTTTGTTTGCCACTGTTATCCACCCACTAAACTCAGATAAACAGCGGCTTGCACAGCCCTACATGGCTACAGACCTCGACGAAAACGGCCACAAATGAAACAAAACAAGTCTAATTTACGACAATAATTTTAATCTACTCGGTCGGGGAAACTTTGTTTGTCTATATGCGGTTTAGTCACATTTTATCACGCGATTGTGCGATAGTTTAATTACATCAATTTAGTCGGTGTTTCCAGCACCGCTATTTTGCATCTTTCTGTCGCTTTGTGTTCGCTGAATGCAATGAACACCGCGCGAGATGACCGATTCTCGAACAAATTACTCGTATGAACCGGTTCTTTTTAGTGAAAAGATTCACGAAGCAGAAGAGTTGAGCTCACGAGCGAGTTAGCGATTTGAGTCATATAGTGAATCATTCAGAGCCGTCACTGAGTTCACAAATGACTCCCTCGAACGCGAGTCATTTTTCGTTAATGTCTATTGTAATACATTAATCAATAAAAAAAATCTGTATGTTACAAGAAAAGTAAGATAACTGTTTAATGAAATACACATGTAAAGCTGATTCGCGCTAAAGGGAGAACGTTGGTAAGAATGCAAGATGAGGGACATTCCCCCCTAAATATTACTAAAAAAAATACCGTGATATTTATATTACATAAATACAGACATAAGTGACATAATTTCAAACACACAGTTATACTAAATAAACCTAGAAAATATCCGAATCATTTTAGCACTTTTTGTGACCAAAGCACCATTTTTTTAGTTAGACCCTTTATCACAACACAGTGACCGTTAAATGAACTCCACTTCGAAAGTTAAAAATTAAAGATGATATGCAATCAAAGCACATTTTAAATTCATATCCACTTCACAGTCTTTTGCAACTGTGTTCCCATCCAACAATGGAGAGACCAAAAGTGTCAGAGTTTAATGCACTAGATGGTGAGCATGGACACCGGCGATTCTGAACGACCATTTGCATCAAGCAATTGTAGAATTTTGCAACTAAAAACTAATTTGGCCCCAAAATGTTTCATTTGATGGGCCAACGACTCCCCAGTAGCATCAGCATCATTACTGCAATACATAGCCTATTCTCACACGTTCAGATGAGAACAATTTGGACCATCAAACATACAATCTCTCAATGCACTGTAAACAAGACTGTGTGCGACAAGCAGCACAACAACAACAAGCCCAGCTGACCACACACGCAAACCTTCAAGCTCGACTTCAGCGGCGCTTTCGCAGTCATCTGTGCAATCTCTTCCTCCGAGTACTCTTTCAAGATCCCGTCTTGCATGAGCACCGTGTACACGTTGCGCCGATGGCCGGTCGAAGCATCTCTGTTGTCTTGTTTGACAGCCTGGATCACTCCCGTGAGCGGAGCCGCGTCTCCCGTTAAACCCGGCGCGTAAACGCGGCTCCCAATGACCGAGCGCTTCACCAGCCGCCGCGTATGCATAGTTGATTATAACAATGAAATGCGCAAATAAAAATTACTTCTTTGCACGGCAATGTCGCTTTAAAAACAAGAAATGTCACGCTGACAAAACCCGAACGGACTGACCGTCATAACGGGCCGAACATGCGAATAATGCGACATTACCACTGATCTGGACCGCATCCACATATATCACCGGCGCGAGCAGTGAACCGTTACAACATGCAAATGAGCTACGCTTGATAACTTCTCTGTCCGTCTGACCGAAGCACCGACCGGCAACCGATATATTTCTTCTGTCGACCAGCTTGTTTTGCTTGCCGTTCCCTTATAGCTGACGGATTGTGGTAAAACACGGCGCGGAGCGGCAGTTTTGGATCGATAAACACGATGTATTTTTCACAATACACACAGCGGGCATTTATGTGATAAATCACCGAGGAGCGGACCACAAGAAATTTGATTCATATTATAATATAAATGAGCGTCTCCAGTGTCGAGGGTGCTGGTTTAATAGCTAGTTTTCACCCCATATCGCCGTAAATCCGGTTTCGTGTGAGAAAGACTCCATTCCGGAAAATCCATCCGGGTTTTCTAGAGCCACTGGCTCTACCGGCGGAATGTCGCCTGTAAACATGTGCGCTCGCGCAGCCAGTGTGCGTTCTGATTGGCTGGCGGCACACACGCCTCCACGCGCTCGCGCTCGCCTTCTCCTGCAGTTTCCCTCCAAACACAAGCGACGACGGGCGCTGCTGCGATTAAAACAATGACGCACGGATGGGAAGAGGAGAGTCTTTGAGTAGTTATTATTTAGGTAGGCCGGTCAATCTGCATAACATTAATAACAGTGATGACAATATCCCGGCAAAGCAGGGTCATAGGCGTCTGTGTGTGACCCGGCGAGAATGATTGACAGGCGGCAGGGATTCCCGAGGGACCTCTGTGGCGGGATCTGTCGGTAGTCGAATATAACTGTTTATGGAAAATCACTCATGCTCGTCGTCACATACCAAAACATAAACTTGTCCGACTCTGAACATAATGCAAATGTTTAAACGTGATTTGTTATGTTGAGGAAGGAAATGCTGTTGACATATTTCTATTTTTGACGTCTTAAAGGGATAGTTCACCCAAAAATGGGGATCTTCTGTTAGTCATCCTCGTGTTGTTCCAAACCTGTTTCTTTCTTCCACAGAACACAACAGGATAACAGTCTCACTATTAACATGATGATTATTTCTGGCTGCACTATTCCTTTAATGCATGCTTAAATGATCTTAAATACCAAATGTAATAGCGACCTTTAAGAAAATTATACTATATATCCACCTTATTCTTCAACGCGGAAGTAAGCCGTTTTCTGTGAATGTGCGAGATTTCCGGTTCATTAGCTGCCTTAGGGAAATAACGAGAAGAATAACAAAGTGCAGTAAATGGTAAAACTGTTTGCACTACAAGCCAGTGTGTTCATAATTAAGATAATACATTAAAATAATATGGAAAGACACCAATTTGCAATATAAAGCAGCAAAAAGAGCTGTTTTGCACAGCTAAAAATAGCTGGACGCAGATGAGACTGGAAGCCAGACACATTAAATTTACAAATGGCTGCGACCGCTCTTACGGTAAAAATCAAGTGGATAGTGTAAATGTATTATGTAATCTAGACATTCTACATGTTGTCACCGCTTCACTGCCATTCACAACTCTTCTCCTCATAGGATGTCCATTGGATTTGCTCTTCAGAATCTTGTCTGAAGTAGTAGGTCATTCATGTGCTTTTCACCTTATGTTTTCTAAATAATGTGAATTTGGACTAATATTTTGAGATACTGTTTAGGCATATTCGGGCAGAGAAAAAAAAAACTTTATAATTCAGACTAACATTATGTTAGTCTTTTAAAATGTAAAATTATGACAAATAATATCAGTCTAATTTAGGCTACTGTCAGTCACAAACTCACAAACTTGAACACAGTGAAAGTAACAGTATATCCCAGAGACCTCAGTCTCTTTCTTACTTTGACCACGCACTGAAATAACTTTCAAGCAGACACATGGAAACAATCACTGTTACAATCCATTTTTTTAATGTAATGTTTACTAGTAAACTTTACTAACGTTTAAATTTCACTTTTATGTATTTTACATTTATTCAAAGTGACTTAGAGAGCATTCAGACAATACATTTTATCAGCACATGCTAAAATTATGAAATTACTAGTAATAAATACTGTAAGTAGATTAGTTAGTAGATTTAGTTTTTCATTTAAAGGGGTCATATGATGCGATTTCAAGTTTTCCTTTCTCTTTGGAGTGTTACAAGCTGATTGTGAATAGATAAGATCCCTGAAGTTGCAAAGACTAAAGTCTCAAAACCAAAGAGATATTCTTTATCAAAGTTAAGACTGCCACGCCCCCCTAAAACGGCTCGTTCTAACACGCCCCCACATATCTACCTCACTATGTGGAAATATTTGCATAATGCCGCCCAAATGTGCACGCAAAGAAAGAAGGCGTGGTTTCAGTAACCGCAGTTAGTGTTGAAGCAGCCATGTCAGGGAGACGCTGTGTGTTTCTAGGCGAAAGCAAAAGCACTTTATTTGGCCTTCCGGAAGTAGATGCATTTAGGATACTTTAAGATGAGCTACTTACAACAGAACAGCAATGCATTTGATGGAGAGAGAGAGAGAGAGAAAGAGAGCGAGAGAGAGAGCGAGAGAAAGAGATAGAGCGAGAGAAAGAGAGCGAGCGAGAGAAAGAGAAAGTGAGAGAAAGCGTGAGAGAAAGAGAAAGTGAGAGAAAGCGTGAGAGAGAGTTCTGTTACACCAAATACACAAAATAATGATCTTTAAAAAAGCATCATATGACCCCTTTAAAACACAGTAAAAAATTTTTTTTTTTCTGTTGTTGATAAAAGTTGTTTTTATGTCAAAATAGTAGAAATAATAGTAGTAGATGTAGCATACTGACTCAGAGATCATGTTATTACAGTTTTAAGTGTGTAATTTGAATCGATTACATTTAAAAGTAATCCACCTGCTTGTGTGCATTATATATAAGCCTTAATTTAACAATTTTACCTTTGTGTATGGTTAAGCACAAACATGTGCATGTTGTATATGCATGTCAGTGTGAGTTCTGAATCGATTGTAGCATTGATCAAAGAACCGCACTCCTTGCATAGCCTCTCAAAGTATAATATAATTACTGTGTGCTTGTGGGCATGATTCGCTTATAACAAACTGTCTATAGGAATAACCCCTTAAGGCATGGCTGAAAAGATTTAATCTTTTAACAAATAATTTATCCTTATGAAGTGAAAATAAAAAAATCTATTCAATGCACTTGTTTGCTGCTGCTCCCTTATGGAGTACTTGCATTGAAAATGCATGTTGCTTTGACCACAGATTCAATCAATACCTGGCTGGACAGTGAAATATGTTCTTAAATCCCCTAATACCAGTGCACTGACATGATAATAAAACCGCCTTATCGAAGGTTGTTTTTCTACACTTGAGAACTTAGTTTATTAGGATGTATTGGCAGATTAAATATCAAGAGATTATTGTGCTTTTGTGCACTAAGCCAGTAGAAATGTCCTTTCTTGTCATAAGATTGCCATGATGCAATGATGCTAATATTATATATATATTGAATAAACATGTACACACATTATATTATTAGTCCAGCATGACTATTTGTTTAATAAGCAAATACCACAATATGATTATGATGAAATAAACAAATGTAAAATCCATTCTTATTTACAACTTAATACCCAAAATTTGGTTAGAGGGAGAAACCAAATATTCAATGTTTCACCATGATATTAAATAAAACAAGAATCTTCTTAATATGGAACCTGTACCAACACGACGTACCATTACAAGCAAACACGGACAACATTTGGACTCCATCCACAGTCCTTAATTAAACCTCACATTTTAAATACATATTCCTGTTATTAGTCTTTTAAATGTTAATAAAACTCCTTTAAACTTTCTTTACTTAAAAATGCATCTAGAAAACAGCATGTATTCCACTGACTCTTAAAGCTTCATTAGTTCCTCAATATACAAACTACAAGTTCCACATGCTGTCATTTGAGAGCTGCTGCCAATTATTACAGAACTATACTTAAACATTGACAATTTAATAGATCATAAAAGTCTTTTGAATATTTACAAGTGTCTCTTGGCATGAAGTTGTCCCATGCAGCGTCTGGATGCGCTATGCGTTTTTGATTATACTGCTACATGAATGTAAAAGCAACTAAATGCATACCTGATAATAAAGTACATAAGCTGCCAGGCAAAGCTGCAGTGTGGCAGTACCATGATGTCTCTTTTCTCCTGTGCTTTTCAGCCTTTTGAAATGTTGCGTACCTATTACATGTAAAAACCAAACAATATTTGAAATATATAATGTATCTGACACTCAATCAATACAATAAAAAATATTACACATACATATTGATAACATAGCTCAATTACATCACAAGTGGCAATAAGTGAACAATTGAAAGGATGTGAACTCACACCAGCAATAAATAGCCAACTTTTCATTAATACCCTTTTAGTACACTCATAAATGAGTGTGCTTAACTTTGCGTACCTAAAAGGTCACTTCCTCACCAGAGCCTGTGATTTGACACACTGAATATAAAACATTTTAAACGGCTCAGAATGATGGCAACATTTAAATGTTCCTCTTTTATATTTCGATATGCCTTATGTGAACATCGCTTGCTTACTACTTGTGAAAGTAAATGCTCCAGCAGTTCTGAATGATTAAAATGAGTGTAGTTCCTTAATGGACTGAGCTGAGCGGTCTGCTGTTGACTCGATCTGATTGGTTCTCTTCTTGGGGTTATATAAGGACACAACTCTGTCAGTTGCTCAACTAGTATCATGTGAAAACAGGCAGACAGAGTGGAGCTCGCAGCTGGTGCAGCATGCAAACGCATGGAAACCACTAGTACACATTATGAATAAAATGTTTCTCGTAAGAGCACAGCCATTGGTGTCACTTTGTTTTGAAAAGTGGTGGAGACTTGGGAAGGGGGTTACACAGATGTGCTGCTTATTATGTCACAAAACGGTGAAGGCTTAGCTCATGTATATTAATTAGGATATGCAAACATAATTAAACACGATCTTTTGCTGTATGTACAGATCACGTGTGAAGTAGCATATTTTATATAGAATCTGAAATAACATTAGCATTATACATTTTTATCATTTAAACTAATTTCAGTCACATTTGTGTTGCTATGTTCTCAATGCAGCAGTTATTCTTGCTTATATTTATACATGTGTTA